ATAATAGAAAATAAGAAAAAAGAAATAATTAATCCAGCATATTTAAACTTTAAAAAAAGATTAGAAGTAATGAGTAAAGATTTAAAATTAAAATCTGAAAAATTCAGTAAAGAAACAAATACACAATTAGGATCAGAACTAGAATCAGAATTAGAATACATAAAGTTAATAATAAATAATTTATATAATCATAATAATAAAAAAGAATTATTAGACTTAATGTAACCGGAATTATTAATATTAGAGAGTGAAATAATATCATCAAAGAATATGTTGATAAAAATATGCAATGAAGAAAATGTAGAAATATTAAAGTTAATGTTAATATGTGATGATGAAAATGTAGAAATATTAAAGTTAAAAGCAGATTATTTAATAGAAATAATAAGACAAATATTAGATATAATAAAGTATTTCTAAATCTAAATAAAATCTAGCGCATGCGCACAGATCTGAAGGATCAGTTAGCGCACAAGAGCAATCTGCGATAGCAAGAAACAGCAAGAAAAGTCATATGACGTCACACCTTTTTTCGACAAGAAATAAAAAATTAACACTTATTTAAAAAATTTCAATTTTTTTCAATTTTTAAAAATTGAAAAAATTATTTCTTATCTAAATAATTTATACACAATAGGTATAACATTGAACCATATATTAATATTAATATATGGTTGAAAATATGGTTGAAAATGAAAATGAGCTAGAATTCTCTAACTACTTCTGTATCTTATTCAGTTTTGAGTTTTTAAGGTGGTTCCCCTAGAAAAAAAAACATTATTTTGCAAAAAAATCAAAATTGTGAATACATATACTTTTTAAATGCCACTCTATACTCTTTCCAATGATATATTATTTGATGGGTCTTTTAAAGTATTAAAATGAAAAATTAGGGTTTTAGAATATGGGTACATTAAAAAAGTCTATAACAACGCCTTTGCAACACATTTGTGTAAATATTTGACAAGTCGACAAAAATAAGTGTTTTTTTTTTTTGCTTTTTTACTCTGATTCTAGAAAGCACTTCATAATCTGTAAATTACTCAAATGTGCACGGAATTAAGTAACGGAACAGAAAAAAAGTTAATAAAAGTGATGTTAGCGTGGTTGACAGAAATATATTTTGCTTGTTTGCAAATGCTATGTTTGTTATGTTTTATCAATGTTTTTTATTTTATTTTTAAAAAATATTGTTTCTAGATAAAAACAGTTTTAAGAATAATTTTAAGTGAGTGTATTTTGTTCTGTTTTAAAATATTTTGGAAGTTTTAACGGTTACTGTTTTGACCAATTATCTGTTGAGAGAGATCAAGAATGTTTTGATAAGAGCACTAAAAAGACAAATGAAAAAGGAAAAGAAAAAAGAAAAAAAAAAAGTACTGCTAAATAGGGTTATATTGACCAAGAAAAAGCCAAAGAGAGTTATTTATCTGGTGGATTTTAAATTTGTATTATTTTTTTGTATTTTTAGTAGTATGAGAAGTTTTTAAATTGCTTTTTTTTGCAAAATATACGCAAAAAGTATTTTTTGCAATAATCATGGTTTTCATGCAAATTTAAGGTAGTGGTAGCAGGGCAAAAGCACTTTTTTTTTTAGTTTTTTATTTTTTATTTAGTAACTTTTAGTTAAGGTAAAAATAATTTTGTTTATTGGTAGCATGAAACCAGTTACTGTTATTTATTGCATGACTTTTTTACTTTTTCTAACGTGCCGTTTTTAAAACACTTCCTCTCTCTATTAGATGAGACTTAAATAAGAATTAGTATAGAGAGAGAATAGATTAAACTCATGTAATTACTGAGCTCTTGCGTATTTTTTAATACTCCGATTGATAATTTGCTATTTAAAGATTTAATTCTTTAAATTGTCCCTTGGTTGTTATTGATTATTGTTATAAACAAAATCTTTTTAGTTTCAAGTATTTTCTTTTAGGGATCGTCTATATATTACGTAACGCGAAATTAAAAATATAGACAAAAGAAATATCTCAAAAACCGTGTCTCTCTCATGGTCAACTATATGTTGCATTTTCAAGAACAAGAGCATTTAATAGTTTGCTTTTCAAAATTGATAAACAACTTATTCAAGGTATGGTAGGTAAAAAAAATGTAACATAAATATTGTTATATTTTTTAATGTTCTTAATTTATTCTTGAGATAGAATAGTCTTGAGATTTTCAATATGAAAATTTACTGTTAAAGGTTGTAAGCACATTTTGTATGTATAACTTTATTTATCATTATTTATTTTTTGTCATAGTTTTTGATAAATGTATCTATCATTCAATAGTTCTAAAATATGTTTATATGTGTTATAAAGTCATATTTAATTATAGTTGTATATATATTTAAACTATAAAAGCCAAGACAACAATTTATATCTTGATTATTTATATTTTTAATTTGGCCTTAAGCAACTAGCTTAAATATTTTAAATAATTATAACTAAATATTAAAAATCTATTAAATAAATATATATTATATAAATATTTAATGATAAAAAATGTTAAAGAAGTCAAAAAAGTGTAATTATGTTGTGGTAAACTCTAAAAACAGTTAGTGACAACTATGTGGTTTGTGATTAGAATAATTTTTAATTAGTAATTATATTTAATATGTTTACACGAATATTTGAGGTTTATAGATAATATAACTTATCGATTGATTTTGTATGAAGGAGGTGAAATAGAAGTTAGTTGAATTTAAGGTTATAAATAAGTTTTCGAAAAAAAAAGAAGTTTTGTTTCTTGCGCGGAAATTACAAGCTAACCGGGCTAAAGAGAAAGATGAAGCCGTAACGTAAAAAGATAAATCGTAAAACGAAGATCGTAGAACAAAGATCGTAGATAGGCACTTCAACATCTGATCGTGGTATATTCGTCAGGGTTAGGGTTAGGATCAGGGTTAGGGTTAACCATGTCCCTAACCCTAATAATCGATAAAAGATAGCTAAATAAAAAAGATCTGAGGTTTTATGCCAACAAAAACGTTTGAGGTGTTTATTCTTCAATCGTGCATCCGATGACTTGAAATACAAAAACTTTTTATTTTTATTTGTTTATTCCTAAAAGTAGAACCACAGTTAATCAACAGTACCAAAAGTATTTTATTGAGATTTCGTTGTTAGAGATAATTTGAATCAAAAACTAAGTTCATTTTATAACCCAAATATTTTTGAAGGCATTTTGTGTTTTTTTATTCTAATAAAAAAATCAGCTATATATTAACCTTAACAGCAATGGCCATATTTCAGATCTCTGGCCATGATTTGTGTTTTTTTACGCCTTGTAATACTTGTGCTAAAACTTGTTAATTTATTAACAAAAATTTCCAAAATATGTCATAAATTGCATCTCAAGAGGTTTTTTAATAGTTTAGAAATACTTTTAAGAAACTAAGCCATTTGCGGTAACATATGACGCAGTTTAAAATTAGGCGACCAAGATTCGGTGGTTTTACCCTAAAAAAAAGTTTATTTAAAATTAGAGGCTGTTATTTTAAGCAGTATATAATGCATTTTTGGTAAATTGAATCATTTTTAAACATTGCTCATTGTTAGTTTTGTTTGTTGTTATTCTATATTTTTCTTAAATAGCACCGTTATTTAGGTGTAAGGTAAATTTATTAATGCTTCAATGTCATTTAGAAAACTAAATCGTCGGGGATAGTGCAAAACCGCGTAACTAGCATTGGATAATACCTTGTATCTACAGGACATTTTTTTTAACTGGAGAAGTTTAAAACTTTATATATTTTTTTTATTTTAACTAATTTTGGGTTCATTTTAGTATAAATAGCATTATTCATGTTTTTTGTAATCTCAACAAAAAATATTTGGTGTTAAAATTAATTATATCCAAATATAGTAGCCAATGCTAGTTACGCGTATTTGCACTATTGCCAACGAAATATTTATCATAGTTTAAATGAATGAGCGTATTTACAGCATTTATAAGCTTATGAATACTTACTAAAATATATAAACATAAATAAATTTTATATTCAAATAAAATGTTTTTGTTGATGTTATTCGCTATTGCTGTAACTGTTATTCAATAACAACAACTTATTGTTATCATTATTATTAACATCTTTAAGTTGTTATTTAACACTAGCAGTAAGTAACTCGTAATACGGGTTAAAAATAACTAAACCATTAGTAACAACATAACTTACTACGTTATCTAAAAAAATATATCTAAATACAAATTTATTTTACAGATAAATTTGTATTGAAAGTTCGGCTCTCTATTAGCAAAGTCATTGCTTATAGTTATAATTATATTATAAAACAGCAAACAACGCGTAAAATATGTTTATGCACGGTCATTATCAATATTGTTATTTAAGCAGAAGTGAAAAAATTAAAAATCAACTCCTTTCTGATTGGTTTAAGGCGATTTGCCACATTATAGAAGATTGTTTAAGCTATATATTTCAACTCTTAACTTCTGAAAAACCCCAAAAAATGACTTAGGCATTTGTGCTATGACCGTGACGATATAACATTATAAAACATGTTAACACATTTAACACATTACATATGATGCTTAGTATTAATAGACATTACGTGTTTCCAGAATAATTAAAAAAGGCTAGACAACACAACCAAGCCACAACAAAGCAGAAACACCCCTTGGCACTAAACGCTGCCAAGTCACACCTCTGCTTTAAGTACACCGCTTGGCTGGCAAAATTAACTATCTTGCTCGATACGTTTGCCAAGTCACATCACTTTGAAAACATGGAATCAACGTAATATAAACATATATACACAAACTATAAACACATATACACAAACCCTAAACACATAATCTTGATAACACATATAGCCCAAGTATTACATGAACAATTTAAATAACAACTAACACATAACATACATATAACACTTACATAACACATATAGCAATTATAAACATGTATAAAGACAAATATAATTACTGAAACAATACAAAATAAAACTATAAAAAAAAGTGAAAATTATAACAAAAATCTCATAATTATAAATTAAGAACATTAGAAAATACAACATTATTTGTGTAACACTTTTCACCTATCATACTTTGAATGGGATGTTTATCAATTTTTAAAAATAAACTATTAAATGCTCTAGTTCTTGAACATGCAACATAAAGTTGACCACGAGTGAAACACGGTTTCTTTAGATATACATCAACTCTATCAAATGTTTGACCTTGACTTTTATTAATTGTCATTGAATATGCCAATCTGACAGGAAACTGGCGACGTTTTAGAACAAAAGATAAATTAGAATCTGACGGAGCCAACTGAATTCGAGGTACAAATACCCGTTTACCAGCAGAAACACCTGTCAAAACCTCTGCATCAATATAATTATTTTGAAGAGCACAAACTTTCATTCGAGTGCCATTGCATAACCTAGCTTTGATATCTAAATTTCTAAGTAACATAATTATACAACCAATTTTAAACTTTAAAAAATGAGGAGGCATACCTGAGGGAATTAAGCTATTTAAAAACTCAACAGGAATGTTATTTCTTTAATTAAGATTGTCTGTCTTAACTTGATCAGCACTTAAATAAGTTTTGACCTCACCCAGCAGACGTTGAAGCACTTCTTCATTGACTGATAGTGAATCCAAATTAGTTGGTGTAAAAATGACATGTTTAGCATAATCGTCTTGTTCGGCATCCCCAAATATCTTTTCAACAATGGAGTCATTTTCCTTAGTAAGGCATTGATGCGGTATTTCAATGCATCCTTTCATAGGATCTTCCTCTTTGACAAATATTGTTCCACTACCAAGTCTTAACAGCCAATTTGAAAATTCTTTTTTACCATCATGTACTCTCATATTTTTAGTTAACTTAAACTTCTGCACCCATTGCCAATGTAAAGAGCATTTTATACATGCTTCTACAACTTCAGCTGGTTGTCCTCTTTTCACAACAGGCAGTATTTGTCTAAAATCGCCTCCAAAAAGAACTTTTCCTTCAAATGGAAAGTTGTTGTTGCAAACATCTTTTAATAATCTATCAATTGAATTCAATGCATGTTTGGGTATCATGGATGTTTCATCAAGCAAAAACAAACTAACCTGACTTAAAAAGTGTCCATGTAAAGAGTTTGGAGTTACATTACTTGTGCTGTTATCTAATATTGGAACAGGAAGTTTAAATAAACCATGCGATGTAGATCCATTTGTAAGAAGAGTTGCTGTTATGCCAGTCCATGCAGCTGTAACAAATTTAATACCTCTACTGCTGGTTTCAGCAATTAAATAATTATATGTTAACGTTTTTCCACTACAAGCCGGTGAAAATCCATGAAAACAATCGAGAATGCTGATTTTCTACACTTGTTTGTCCATTCAATGCAGCAAAAATATTATTACATACATTTAATTGATTGACATTGAGCGAAGTCTCATTCTATTGGCTTCATCAATTGATTGTTGAACATTTTGATTGAAGTTTTCTAAATTATCTAGATTAAAATCTAACTCAACAACAGGCAGATTATAATCAGCCAGCGTTTTACCACACTAATTAATAATCTTTTTAATTTGACAAAGAGCAGCTTGTTCAGCTATTATAAGCGGGACTGAGCGATGAATAAAGTCCTCAATCATAAATGCTTTGTATGTATTCCAAAGATGCAAAGGATTGTCTGGTTCACAAAAATTCAAAATAATTGCTAATAACTGCCTAATTGCTTTGGCATACGTGTTAAAACTGCCTCAGAGAGTGCATTCTGCCATTCAGTGTCATCTTGTTACAAATCATTTAAAACGAATGCTTCTTAAGCCAAGGTTAGTGTTAGGGTCAGGGTTAGGGGTTAGGGTTAGGGTTAATTCAATTCCAAAGGTAAAAAATTTAACTCGGTTGAAAGATCTTACTAACCCTAACCCTAACCCTAACACCCCTAAACCCTGATATTATATATATATATATTGCTAAACTATTTTCTTTACTTACTTTAATTATATGATCTTAACAATGATTATTTATCTTAATATAATTCTTTATGTAATATTTCTAAACTAATAAATATTAATTCAATTCCAAAGGTAAAAAGTTTTGAATCGCTTGATAGATCTTCTTCTAATACCCGCTTGCATTTTGAGAACGCGTTGTTCCAAATTCAGAAAAGCCTAGTATCTAATTAAAACTGTTTTAAAAGCGAAAGCGAAACGACATTGAACATTGAACATTGAATTTTTACAGTATTAATATTTAGAGATTATGTAGGTATGCAGCATGAAAATTTTGATCATATTGAAAATAATTCATAATATAATAAAATTTAATAGATCATATAAGTTATTTTTATTATTAATACGTTATTTTAATATCAAAATTATTCAAAAAATTAAACAATTTAAAAAAATGTTATAAGGTTTTCAGTACCAATTTTTTAAAATATAGTTTTGTTGAAAAAACTGTTGTCAAAATATACTTTTTTCAACTAAAATTACAATAGCTTTGTCAATACCTGAACTAAATGCCTATAACTTGATATCAAAAGGTGGAGGCAAGAATGGGGTACGGTTATTTATTATCATCCTACCACTGTATGTATAAAGGGGCTAGAGATGCAGTTAACCACTGTCTTTACCGATAATAAATAAAAATTCCATTTGTAGTTTTTATATGCTTGAGTTTGTCATAATTTGCTACCTGGTCATTGCTAAATATGAGAGGTTTATTTTGGAGTAAGGTTGAGTGTGGTGTGCTGATTAAACACACCCTATTTTTAAGAAGTATTCTTTTGTATATATATTGTTTGCTTTATTATCAGAGAGTCTAATTAGTATAAAAACCATTATTGTCTTTTACAATTTTTTAAAAAACACTAGTGGTACTCCACTGGGTCTAGCCCTTGATAGTTGATTGATGCATATAAATATAACCAATATTGAAGCTGGTATAAGTATGCATTGATACAATCATTCTTTAAACTTTAGAATAAGAAAAACAATAAGTAAATGGAGTCAATAAACAATATTAAATAAAATATATACAGCTTCAAAATAAACCATTAAAATTAAAATAAAAAGTTAAGAATAAATTCTAAAATTTTTAGTACTTAAAAACTTGTCGAATACCGATCTTTGAATTCCGCCTCACAAATAACACTATTTGATGTACAGATTGTAATAGCGTGTATTACATAATTAAAAAAATTAAAACATGCATAGATTTGTCTCCTTATATAGAACTCCTTTGTTTCCCAATTAAGATACGGAAAAATGAAATTTAGGTTCCAGAAGTGCTGGTCATAGTTGGGTATGTGCTGGTCAAAATAAATCAATGAAATTTGGCTGAAGCAAAGAAAATGTGTAAACTTAAAGCAAAAGATATGAAAGTAAAAATATAGCATATCTTCAACATTTACCGAATATATGAAGTACAAATAAATTTTTGTTGTTAATAAATCAGTTTAAAAAATTCTCATTTTTTTCAAAATATATAGATTAATAAAGTTTCTCTAGTTTCTAAAAAAATTTCTTTTTTTCCAAAAAAATATCTATGTTCATCTAAAGTTCTTAAAAATTAAACAACAAAATACAATCTTTTCTCACTGGTTTAAAAAAACTTTGGAACTCTGCGTTATCCTATATCATATAATAATAATAATTATTATTATTAGGCTATACTTTGCACCTTAATTCTTTCTGATTGCCCTTTAAGGACGTCATCATTTTCAGGCAATTTTCAATGCCGTCCCCCATTTTTATCGCCTTATATCACTTTTTCTTCTATCTTCTCTTTTGAAAAAGATGTTTTAAAGTAAAGACTCCCACTGATTATTAAAAAAAATACTTTCTTTGATATTTTATGGACTTATAATTTATAAAATATGAAACGAGATCAAAAAATTGTTTAAAGTTTGAACATGTTTGAGCTGTTTCAAGTGAGCTTTACGGCTTCTTCTTATTTTTTGAATTTATTTACCTTGTGAAATTCTTCTTATTTTTTGAAAATATTTAACTAAAAAATTTACTTTAATGTTGAAGGTTAACTAAAACAGACTTTAAAGACAGTAAAGCAAGCTGGAATTTTTGAGAAAAAATATGAAAATATCTATGAAAGAGGGATTAACTATTAAATAAGTATGTTTTCAAATCTGATTAAACTTTTGAAAATATTTAAACAATAAACTTTTGAAAATATTTTAACAAAGCTGATAAAATTCATTTTATTAAAATATAAAACAGCATTTTGATTTTTAAAAGTTAAGCCTAAAGATTTTAAACTTAAGGATAATACCATGTCAATTGATCATGTCATAATATCTCATATTTTGCTGATTTTTATACGGTTTTATACTAAATAAAACAAAAGTTTCTTGAAATTTTAAGCTTTTAGATCAAAGAAGATTCTTAAACATAATCATTTTATTTTTAGCAGATCTTAGCCAAGCCCCTCTTCCCCCCTCAGAATTATTAAGTTTGTTTAAAGGTTCCAAGTCACATAACTTTAACAATATTTGATCTTATTACTTAAAAGTTTGTACCTGGCTTTTTTCAGGGGTGAAGAATCAAATAAATATTTGAATGAATATTTTTGATAATATCAAAAACATAAATTTTACTCATTATTCTATATTTAATAACCCTATTAATGAATAATCAGTTTCTGCGAGCAAAAGTGTTGCTTTTATTGAATTGAAAAAACCGAACATTATGTTTTTGAATATAAACTTTGCTTTTACTGCAAAACATATTCAAAGTTACCCCATTTGTGGGGTAACTTTGAGTGACTAAGTAAATAAATATTATAACAAATCTTTTTGTTTAAATATGGTTATGAATTTGTATTTTATACAAATGCATATCAGTAAATTTCAAATATTGTCAAATGTAAAGAAATTGCATATATAAATATCTAAAATCATATTTAAAATAACCAATTTACAGTACTAACCCATAAACAATATTATTTTTAATTGGTTATTATATTAGTTCGTTCCTAAAGGGATCCCTAAATATCGAAACATTTTGTGTTCATATCATAAGTAAGCAAAAACTTTTTAGTTTTTAATGCCATTTTAATTTTTCAAATCAAGTCTGATTAATGCGCTTATATTTGTTTTAAGCTTAAAGTATAAATTGCAAGAATTTCCCTTTTTTTTGGCGGTTAAACGAAAATATAAGATTCAAGTTTATCAATTTTATATCAATCTGAAAAAGATATATTAGATCATTTTTAAACTGTTTCATCAATTTATTAAATAAAATGGAGATTTTTAAATCCTTTAAAATTTAACCATATTAAATTATATTGTTCTTAGTGATGTATATAAGAAAATTATTTACTTATTTTTTAAGAAAAACATTCATCTTGTGTATTTTAAACTTTGCTTTGCCTAATCACTATTTTTATTATGCTAGTTTATTTAACTGAAACACTTAATGATACGATTAAAAATAAAAAAAAATGCTACAGCGAACATTGCCTATGTTCTACTCACAGAGTGATAAGAGTGTTTGTTGTTTCTCCCAATGCC